GCAGAGGCGGAGGAGCCCGGTGTGGAGGAGGAGGGCACCTCTGTCCTTTCCTGATCCCACGGGGAGTGGAGCAGGGACGCATGCATAACAGACACTCAATTAATATCGAAAAAAATGAACCAATGACTGTGGCTCAGGCCTGAGAGCAGACTCGCACGGCTCCACGTGGGCGCGGCTGAGATGTCATGGACGGCCTGGGCCGGGGGGGTGGGGGGGGTCAGGGCCTCTGTCCCGTAGCAGAGCAGCGTGAGGCGTGTAGGTTGGGCCTGTCACCCGTTCGCAGGCCTAAGTCCTTGCACCTGTTTTAAGTCAGGCCGAGAAACCTGTAAGGTCTTGGCAGGGCCTTCGGTAAGCGTTGTTCCTGTACACGCTCGGGGTTTTCACTGCCAGTCGTGCAGCTCTAGGTTATAGTCCCGGGACCATCTGCCCTGCAGTGGCGGCTCCATAGCCCTGTAGGCCCCGAGTCCGCACACCCGCCAACAGGCACCGCAGTCTGCTTATGGGGAACGTCACGTGAGCAGGGGCCTGGGCTCTCCTCAGTGAGACCGTCACCTGCTCTAGACGAGGCCCCCCCAGGGATGGAGCTTTCAGGAACCTGCAGCAGCGTGGTCTGACTGGGCGTTCTGTGACCAGCCAGTGTTCAAACACTGTCCTTTTTTAAAAGTAAATAAATATTTTTATTGATTTCAGAGGGAAGGGAGAGATAGAAACATCAATGGAGAGAGAATCATGGATCGGCTGCCTCCTGCACGCCCCACACTGGGGATGGAGCCTGCCACCCGGGTGTGTGCCCTGACTGGGAATCGAACCGTGACCTCCTGGTTCATAGGGTGACGCTCAACCCTGAGCCACGCCGGCCGGGCTCAAGCATTGTCCTTTCGTGGTGGCGATCCAGCATGAGGCCGGGCCAAGGGCTTGGCTCCGGAGTCCCATCGAGCTGTGTGGGATCCCAGCGCTGCTGCTCACTGTGACGCTGGGCAAGCTCCTCCTCCACTGAACCTGAGGCTCGTTGTCTTTAAATGAGGCTAAGAGCAGTGTCAGGGTTCACTGTGAAGGTGAAATGCCTGTCCATCATGTCGGTCGCATGTGACATTGTTATCAGGGACCTGGCGCAGCACGCCCTCCTCACGTGGCGGCGCTCACTATCGCATCGCTAGCGTATTCTTTGGCAGAAGACGCTTCCTGGCTCATTGTCTTTGAATCAAAGCCTTTCATTATGACGCTTCCGTTTTCTTTCTTCCTGACTTTCTCTACAAAGCAAAGCGCTATCAGTCCATCTGAGTCCACCCTCCTTCCTGAATATTCCCCACACGGCCACCTCACTCACATCTCGTCTTGACATTCCTATCGCCCATATATACCAATAGCATATACCAAACTACTTAAAAAACATGTTTGTTATTGATTTCAGACAAGAAGGGAAAGGGATAGAGAAACATCACTGATGAGAGAGAATCACTGATCGGCTGCCTCCTGCACGGCCCCGACTGGGGATCAAGCCCACAACCTGGGCATGTGCCCTGACCGGGAATTGAACCAAACACTGAGCCACCCTGGCCGGGCTATGCCAAACTATTTACTTGACCACTACTGGCTTTTCTCACGGGGCTCTGGGTGTGGTCTGTCTCCCTGATTGAGTTTTAAGCACCTTCAGGACAAGGATCACGCCTGACACCACATTTGTCCCACACGGACTATTCTAGAAGGCACTGGGCAGAGAGCCGGTGCTCAGCAGACAATGTGGAGTTCACTTTCCATTTGGAAGGCAATGAAGACAACACCCCCCGCTGGAACGGTCTAAAGGACACCTCCCAAGCTGTCACCAAGAGCTCTGGGCCGGGCTGGGGAGATGATCCCTGGGCTCACGAGGGCCGAAAGGGGATCTGGCCACATGTCACATGTGTGCGTGGGGCGTGGGAGGAGGCCAGTGAACTGTGAGTCAAAGAATTGGTGTAAACAAACCAAGCGATCACATGCCCTCTGCTCTGCCCCTGCCCACGGCTGGTCCAGGGCCGGCCGCGGGACTGGAGAGGTGGGGAGGGCGGACGCCTGGCGATGTGGCCCGCGCTGTGATCAGGGCGCCCTCTCCCATCGCCTCCCAGGTTTCTCCGCGGCCAAAGGCAGGCCCTGGGCTAGAACAGCAGCTGACAGACAGCAGAGCCGAGCTGGCGCAGGGGGAGGGGATGGAAAGCGTGGTGCCCGGGCCCACCTGGGGAGGCAGCGCATTCAGAGCCCAGTGCGTGCAGCCTGGCAGGCCTGCGGGAGGCGCGCCTGGGCCTGCAGCGCGGTGCCCAGGCCAGGGTGGATCCCGCCTGCGTCACAGCTCTGCAAAGGGCATGGCCCTCCCAGCCATGTCCGCATCGCCGCCCGTCCTCCCTCGTGATCTGGACGGACCCTGGGGTCCCTGGGATGCAGGGGCCACCCTCCCGGCTCCAGGTTCCAACGACAGTCAGGAGACGCTCTATTGGCCGCGTGTTCCTACCCTCGCAGGCCCCCGTTCAGTTGGTGAGCTCCGTGCCTGTGACCAGGTTGCAGGCATGAAGCACCTGCGTTTCTCAGACCTTGTACGTGCTCCCCTCATGGAGCAGGTGAGCAGGAGGTGGTGCCATGCCTCATGCATCCGGCCCGTATCCGAGGTCTCCTAACTCGGTAAGCGATCTCTACGGCCACAGCGCACACCGAGTCCCGTGGAAGGGGCTGGCCTGGTTTTTCTCGTCTGGGAAGAGACAAACCTGTTTAGCCAGATGACTTCATCTTTACTCCAGCGACTGGGGGGCCAGGGGCAGGGGGGGAACTACAACAGAAGACAAGAAAGGAGGCAGTTTCCCCGGAGGGATCGGCGTGGGAGGGGGAGGATGCTACTGTGGGAGGGACAGGCCGTGGTCTGCTGGGAAGCAATGAAATAAAACGGTGATTGACGCTCACAAATTCAGCCTCGGGCCTGAAGGAGCTGGTTCCACAGAGAACACAGTGGCGGATGTGGAACGCTGGGGTGACTGGTTTTCAGATGGGAGAGAACAAGGGGTTTGGAAATAGCACATACATTGCACGTTGCTTTAGGATTTCAAAGCTGCATTTGAACCTGGCTGCTATGTTTGCTCTGGGTGGCGTTGGCTCCGTGGTTTCTAGTCTTATATACGATTTCACTTATTTTCACAGACACTTAACGAAGCAGACCCCACTGGTTGAGTCTATTCTTTGTAGAATTCTTCAGCAAAGCTGCCCACACAAGTCAAAATTCAGGAGAGTCCACGGGGAGAGTTAAATGCTCTGAATTCCAGGCCTGTCCTACGCACGTATTTGCCTCTGTAACCTTCACCTACGACCAGTTCCCAGTACCATGGATTTCCTACGTCAGTGCAGCGTGTCAAACCGTTACAGACGCCAAAGCTCACTGAGCTCGCAACCCATGTGCCCAGACCACCTGCCACAGGGGCCGTCTCACTGACGGAGGCGATGTTCGTGCTGCCGCCCAGGAGCCAGCGCTTCGAGACCGCAGATTTAAGTCGTGCTGCCTGATGTCCGACCTCAATTACAGCTGTCATTGGGCTAAATACACCCAAGTAATTTCTTTAAAAAAATATATATTTTTACTGATTTCAGAGAGGAAGGGAAAGGGAGAGAGAGAGGAACATCCATGATGAGAGAGAATCATGGATCGGCTGCCTCCTGCACGCCCCACACTGGGGATCGAGTCCACAACCCGGGCATGTGCCCTGACCGGGAATCAAACCGTGACCTCCTGGTTCACCGGTCGATGCTCAACCACTGAGCCACGCCGGCCGGGCCTCCCAAGTAATTTCATCCCAACGAGTAGTTTACGGGAAGGACAGAGGACAGGTGCAGACTAGGGCTTTGTAAGAAAGTTCGTGTTAATGCTGGGCCTGGGCACCTCTGCGACACAAAAATACTCAGTGAGGCCAAAGAATGAGGCATCTATTTGTAGACCAGCTTAGGCAGAAATACTCTTCTCCCGTGACCACAGGAAGCCCCGAGGGTGTGTGGGGAACGGACTGCGAGGCTGCACAGCAGCGCCTGCCTGTGCAGGGAGCCAACTGGGGACCCGCCCTGCTGGCTGTGGGCTGCGTGGATGGAAAGAGAGTGGGCTCTGGGGTTTGACAGATCAGGGCTCAAGCCCGGTCTCTGTGCCTTAAGAGCCGCATAACCTGGCCCTGGCCGGTTTGGCTCAGTGGATAGAGCGTTGACCTGCGGACGGAAGGGTTACAGGTTCGATTCTGGTCAAGGGCACCTCAATCCCCAGGCCTGGTCAGGGCGCATGTGGGAGGCAGTCAACCCATGTGTCTCTCTCGCATCGATGCTTCTCTCTGTCTCTCCCCCCTCCACTCTCTCTAAAAATCAACAGGAAAATACCCTCTAATGAGGAAGCTGCATAGCCTTGGGCCTGTCGCCGCCCCTCCGGTGCCTCAGTCTCTCCATCTGCGGGGTGAAGGCAGCAGCTCTCCTTGCGGAAGTTGAGGCGTCACACCTGTGTCGGGAGCCCCGTGAAAGGCTGTGTAAACGTCCAGGCCCCCATTTCTCCGGTCCCCGCACTGAACCAAGGCTCGGGGTCCCTGGGCAGGATCCCCCGTGGCCTTGCACTCCGAGAAGGAGCGTCTAAAGGTGGAGCAGGGAGCAGCTTTGACCAGAGAGAGACCTGGAGGAGAGGGTCCCACACCTGCGGGGAGAAATCACGGCGGGCAGGTAGGAAGCGGCGTGCTCTGCAGGAAGAAATGAAAGAAACCAGGCGGCACTGAAAGCCGCGCTGATTGTTGGAGCGATGAGCGGCGCAACGTCAATGTCAGGGGGTGTTGGATCCTCACGTCCCCACAGGGAACCGGGGGAAGGTTCTGGCTGTGGGGGTGGCTGGCCAGCTCCTTGGTGCAGGTCTCCGAGGGGCTATGGCCCGGCTGCTGGACCCAGGGGTGGGCTGCTAGGGAACGAGGGTGCAGCCATCCTGTGTGCGAAATGCTAGAGTCCAGCCCGCGTGGCTCAGTGGTTGAGTGTTGACCTATGAACCAGGAGGCCACGGTTCGATTCCCGGTCAGGGCACATGCCCGGGTTGCGGGCTCCATCCCTAGTAGGGGGCGTGCAGGAGGCAGCCGATCCATGATTCTCTCTCATCACTGCTGTTTCTCTCTCTCCCCCTCTCCCTTCTTCTCTAAAATCAATAAAAATATATTAAGAAAAAATTACAGAACCGTCGTTGGAAACAGTGTCTTGGCGCTGGACGTGGCCCCTTGATTGACGGCAGCAGAGTGACCCAGTGACCCACATTGGCACAGTCCCGAGGCCCGGCTCCGGGTCAGGCCCCCTCTCGCAAGGAGACAGGCTGCCTGCGCCCTGGTTCATCTGGTAGCTCACGTGCACGTGGGGGAATCTGACGGGGCTGCTCAGCTGCCGTGGCCTGACGTCTGCTCTGATTTATGAACCTTGTTTGGAATCTGGCTCCCGGGTTGTTGACCTCGGATCTGCTGGCCCCGGCGCCAAGCCTGCTCTGTGGCCGGGTTTGCTGTTGGTGTTTCCTTTGTTCGGAATTCTCCTTTCTTTCCCCTTTGGTCCCTGCCGGGCCTTCACGAAATATTTCAGCTTCTCAAAGAGAATACTTTTCTAAATGATTGTGATCATGGACCGGCCTCTGTAATTATCCCCGCATTACATTCACCGTCTTTACAGCCACGGCCGTGCCCGGGGACCGAAGAGGGCCCTTCGGCGCCAGGCCAGCCCGCGAGGGTGGTGGACGTCCTGGGACCGTCTGCGGTGTGTTGGGTCTGGGAAGACATTTCACTGGTGTGTTATTTGTGGTTTTTTGGCGCACCATTCCTCAAGCTTGATAAAATAAAGCACAATTGCCTGGCCAGTGTGGCTCAGTGGTTGAGCATTGACCTGTGAACCAGGAGGTCATGGTTTGATTCCTGGTCAGGGCACCTGCCTGGATTGTGGGCGTGTAGGAGGCAGCCGATCAATGATGTTTCTCTCTCATCATTGTTGTTTCTCTCTTTCTCTCTCCCTCTCTGAAATCAATAAAAATATATCTTAAAAAATAATGCACAATTATCTAGAAGCACTTTGTATCAAATCAATTTTTCTTCCTCTCGGTTAGTGGGGGAGTGACTGTTACTAAGACAACGTTGGAAAAGTTTGACCAATATCGACCTCTTGCGCCTAGTGAGTGGGTGGGTGGTAAATGACTCAGCTCTTAGAAGTGAATGAATTCTTTCGGGAACAGGCACCAGGCAGGACGCGGAGGCCGACATCCTTAAATGAGTTAAGTGATTTATGATCAAACTTCCCTGAACGTCAGAAGCTGGGCGGCTGGGTACCAGTCCAGTCAACCTTGGTTTTGGGGACGTGAAACAGGGTCCGAGTGAGCCTCAGGTGACTTGGCTCCTACCGGAGACCTTTTCCTTCGTGCTTGGGAACGGCACCCTTTTCATCAGAAACGTTGTGAAACGTGCATATATTTCACAACTAAAAATCCCCCCGAGATTGACTTTATCCCTCATTGATTACTTAGTGTCACGTCACTGGGCAAACATTCCCAAGAGTTCAGTACCTCTGGGCCACAGACAGTTTGATAAGAATATTTGAGGAGCACACCAAATATTTGCCGGGTCTCATTCCTTAAAACGCAAGTTACATTTCAAAGCTCACCTAAAGCAGTGGGGGGAGACTTTTTGCTCTGGCTCTCCGTGGGCTCATCTTAGTTAAAAGCAGGAAAGTAAAACCTATAAAATACATTCAAAGCATTCTTACCACTGAGCAGTGAAACCATATCACTAGCACCCACTTCAGCCCCGTTCCTTTCCGTGAATAGTTTACTCAGGGGGCCAACTTTCCTCGTTTGCTTCTGCATCCGGGCAGATGGCAGCGAGGCTCGTTATACGGGTCTTGGGTGCGACTGAGAAAGTATCATTTACCTCCCTAGCGGGATGGCCGCAGAGGATGCCGCGGACATTGGAGACTTTCCCGGCAGCGTGGCAGCCTTCTTCCTGCCCCATGGGCTGTCTCTTCTCCGGGACTTCAGGCCCGAGGAGTCAGCCTTCCGCCCCTGCCTCCCCTGTCACCCTCACCCTCTTTCCTTTCTCTCTGCATGTCTACTCCGGCTCGGCTTCTAGTTCAGGAATGCCGTCCTCCTTTATGTATCATCTAACGTTAGACGCATCCATTGAGTTTTTAATACTAGTTATTGTATTTTTTTAAACAAAGAAGACTCTAAGGAACTAGTTACTCTTTTTTTCTAAAAACATATTTTTATTCATTTCAGAGCGGAAGGGAGAGGGAGAGAGAGATAGAAACATCAGTGATGAGAAAGAATCGTTGACTGGCTGCCTCCTGCACGCCCCCTACTGGGAATCGAGCCCACAACCTGGCCACATACCCTGATGGGGAATTGAACCGTGACCTCCTGGATCATAGGTCAAGGCTCAACCACTGAGCCGGGCCGGCCGGGCCCCCAGTTATTGTATGTTTCATGTGCAGAATCTCTGTGCTTGAAAGTGTCTATGTCCTGGTCAGGATCCCGAGGTGGATTGTGGGTGTTTGGACGGATGAATGAGGGCGTGACGTCTGTGTAGACGCCTTTGTCTGGACCTCCGGCAGCTCCGAGTCTGTTTCCCTGGCTTCTCTTGCTTTGTAATCACGTCGTTGGGTGACTTTGGATTGTGCTGTGAAATTAATTCGAAGCATCTGACAGTCACCCCCGGCCTCTTCATTGTAGGTTGTGTGTGTTTATTTGGCAAGAGCCTAGGAACACTCGAGATCCCAGATCGCCTCAGTCTAATTATAGAAATTAGCATGACACGGAGCTGGGTTTCAGGCCCCGAGAAGGTGGAACTATTTCGGGCTTATCTGTACTCCCAGGGCTCAGCCCTTTGGGGTCATAACCCCAAACACGGGGTGTCTCCCTAGAACACGTTTGCTCCCCGACCCCCTGCCTGGCCTCCGGATCTCCGCTCAGCATCTCAGCGTCTCTGTGAGAAGAGGCGGAGAGGGCCCTGAATGCAGGGCTCACTTCTGTGGGTCCCTTTCTTTTTTTATTTTTATTGTTTATTTATTTTTTAAAATCTTTATTGTTGAAAGTATTACACAGGTCCTCCCTTTCCCCCCATTAACCTCTCCCAGCCCGCTCCCATCCCTCCTAGCTTCCCCCTCCCCCCAAGGCCCTCACCACCCCTTTGCCTGTGTCCCCGGATTATGCCCTTTCTTTCCCACGGTCGGTGTGTCTCACAGACAACACTGATGGACTAAAGCTGTAATTTAGTTCCCGAGCCTTAGCCACAGCACTGCCCCACCCCACCTCCTCAGGAGCTGACTTTTCAGACGCTCAGGAACCGGATCTGGGTCCCGGGCTGGCACACTAGATGCAAATGTAATGCATAATCATATCATTTAAAAACGCCTGCATTAAAAACACAAATCTATACATTTAGTCTATACGCATGTATATGTAGTCTAGGAAAAAATGGGAAGGGAAGAAATGAAAATCTTTTAAAAAAATATGTATTTTTATTGATTTCCAGGAGGAAGGGAGAGGGAGAGAGAGAGAGAAACATCCATGATGAGAGAGAATCATGGATCAGCTGCCTCTTGCACACCCCCCGCCCCCCCCTGGGGATCAAGCCCGAAACCTGGGCCTGTGCCCTGACCGGGAATCGAACCCTGACCTCCTGGTTCATAGGCTGATGCTCAACCCCTGAGCCCCCCCGCCCCCGCCACTGGGGATCAAGCCCGAAACCTGGGCATGTGCCCTGACCGGGAATCGAACCCTGACCTCCTGGTTCGTAGGTTGATGCTCAACCCCTGAGCCCCGCCTGAAAATATTAACAGCAGTGATACTGGCCGATAGAAAAGGCAGGGCTCCTGGCAATTCTCAAAATGGCAGGGCTGGTCCTGGGTATTTTTGCGCTCTCCCCCTCCCCCACTCCCCCTGAGCCTCTCCGTGGTCCCGTGGCTGAGCGCAGGGCGTTACTCCCTTGTGGCCCCGAGAGATGCCCGGTGCAGTCAGGGCCACAGGCTCAGGGGAGGGCAGAGCTGACAGGTGGACCCAGGTTCTCTGTCGCTCTACCTGGAGCTGCTGTCTCTACACTGAGCTGGCTGTGAGGTCCCGCGGCTGGGACGCCTGTGGAGAGGCCAGCGAGTGCCGGGAACCTAGCGGTGATTCCTGGTGGTTCCACCGGCAGCGCCTGGAGTAAGAGAAGCCCGGGCCGATGCCAGGCCGTGGTGCGTTACCCGCAGACGGAGCTTCTGCCGGCTTTGCATAAACAGACCCGGTGTTCCTGGTTCTCGAAGTGTGACCTACCAGGCTCATTTATCTCATGCTCGATCCTTCCTCCTCGATACGGCACATGGGACCTGTTCTGTACAAAGCGACGTTAGTCACTATTGGTAGCTCTTTCTCTCCCTTCCTCTCTCTGAAATCAAGTAAAAAAAAAAAAGGCAATAGCCCTAGTTGGGTTGGCTCAGTGGATAGAGCGCTGGTCCACCTGTGGACTGAAGGGTCCCGGGTTCAATTCTGGTCAAGGGCACAGGCCCGGGTTGCGGGCTCCATGTCCGGTGGGGGGCGTGCAGAAAGCAGCCAATCAATGATCCTCTCTCAACATTGATGTTTCTATCTCTCTCTCTCCCTTTCCCTCTCCCTTCCTCTCTGAAATTAATAAAAATATATTTAAAAAAACAGAAAAACAGAAATTAAGGTCTTTATCCTGACATATGACTAATTACTCCAGATTTCTGTGGGGTGGTTGGCGCATCAGAAATCAAATGGCAACAGGGGGATGAGAGTATGAGTGGAGAGGGGGGAGGTTGGGGGTTAATGGGGGGATGAGGACACATTTGTAATACCTTAACCAAAAAAGAAATTAAAAAAAAAAAGAAATCAAATGGCCTTCGTTCTCCCTGTCTGTGTCCAAACCTTTCACCCAGTTACTTGGAGTTGAGTTGCTGCTGCTTTCCGCCCAAAGACCCAAGGACGGAAAGAACTGGAACCAGACGTGAGCCGTGAGGCCTCGGCGCACCTGTGACGGTCAGGATGAG